AGCTTTAACTCTTTTCGTCATAGCATTTTGCTTGATCTTAGAGTTTTTAGCTTTGACTTCTTTTTGTCATAGCACATCGTTTGAATCTGGTTTTTTTACTCCTCTTTGAACGATTTGGATATATGAACATCCAAAACGTAAAAGAAAGAAGAGATTAGAAAATTAGAAAAAAAAACATATAGTTCAGATCGCAACCAGGCTCTGATACCATATTGAAAAATAAAATGCGGAAATTAAATTAGAAAGAAAGAACAAAATATAAAAGAACGGAAACACTTTTATTGCTACATCTCTTCTTCTTGTTACATTACAATGAAAATAATCCATACATTTATAGGAAAAGTTATTGAAAGAAACAAGGAAATAAAGATACGAAAGAAACAAATAAGGCAAAATATAATTATCACGATATATATTTTATTCTTAATTGATATTATGCCTTTAATTATTATCAATCATATCAAATCTCCATATTTTGTTTCTATTTCAACACTCTCCTCCTCTAATTCTCCCTTTTGTTTTTTTTCCTCTTTCGAAAAAAAAAATAACTTTAAGGCTTTGAATGGAGATGGCTTTTATTTTGGGTTTTTGGTTTTAGTTTTTAGATTTTGGTTTTTAGTTTTTGGTTTTTGGCTTTTGGATTTTATAATATTTGAAAACTCAAAAAAATTAGCTTTTGGTTTTTCATTGATTTTTTCACTAAAATGGCTTTCCAAGTTTTTAGGAAAAGTAATTTTGTAAAAACTTGAATGTTGTTTTTTTTTTTTTTGGATTCTAAAAACTCCAAAAACTCCTACCATTCAAGGCCTTAATCACCTATTAATATACCAATTTATAAAAGAACTGATATAAATAAACAAAATTTAAAAAATATTAAAATTCTAATTTTAATATTAAAATATAAACTTTTAAATATTTTCTAAAAATTACCATGGTTTTTTAAAATCGTTTAGAAATTAGAATATAATTTTATTAATTTTAAAAATAAAGATTATAAAATTCCTTATTGTATATATTAAATTCGTATATTTATGTTGGATTTTTTTTAATAAATTCTTTTATTAATATGCTAGTTTCTTTCATATTATAATAACTTTTTCTATTTTAATAGGCGTGATTAAAAAGTTTACAAACCGAATAATTACGTGACACAGGGTGGTCAGTGTATCTGATAGTATAATAACTTGTGAATCAAAACTAACATAATTAAATGATTATACTCAAATTAATTTCTTATTAAATAACATTAGAGGAGCGGAACCTCTCTCACCCAATTTCTCATTATTTTTCTTAAAAAAATATATATTTGAGAAGAGGCTCAAATGAGACCCAATTCTCGTAACATATGGGCTTAAATTGGATTTATTTATAAACCTGTCTCAACTCTCGTAACATATGGGCTTTTTCAAAAATATTAGAGCCCATTTCTTTTGGGCCTTTAAAAAAGCCCAATTCTTTATGTTTCCGTTCCCATCCAAACAACCTGGATTCGGCATATATATATATATATGGTGTTGGATCCGGTATTTGTTAAAACACAAATTTTTTTTAACTGGAATATCCAAATTTTATTTTAGTTCGATTATTGGAACATTTAAAAAAATTAATATTATTTTTTAATAATGTTGTATGAATTAATTTAAATATTAAAACTAGTTTTAGTGGTACCGATGAATAATCCAATTCTAACTAAATAATAACCCTAAATTATTAGCTACCATATTTCGAGATCCTCGATGAAGAAGAATGTGCGAAGAAACCAAAGTGACAAAAGGGTCGTGTGATGAAATTAAAGATAGATGAAAATTCAAAACCAAAATCATTAATCAACTTCAACTGTAACTGTTGACCAAAAAAAAAAACAAATAAGGAATTTTTGGGTCCAAGTCCAAGACATACAAATTCACATGCATTGCATGTGTACACATGAACACAAGAGGAGGGGAGACGTGAGATTCTGTCAACGTCTTTTTAATTTTGATGTGAAATTATAACCAATGAGTCACATGGTGCTTTTTTCATTTGTTCTTTCTCATCATCATCATCATCATCACCACCACCACCACCATCATCATCATCATCATCATCATCATTATTATTATTATTTAGGTATATGTAGTACTTCATAATTTGAAAAGTACTTATATTATATGTTCAAACGAATAGAAGTATTCATTGAGATTAAACATGGAAAGTTAGGTGGATATTTTAAGATGTTACAATAATATATGAGAAGACAAAATATTTGAAATTTCGAGTTAAGCAGGAGGGGACATGAGATGGGTAACTCTCATAACTACTTGGAAAACGAAATATCATAACATTATATATACATACATACATACATACATTATAAGAAACGTATATATATGAGTGGACTGACAAATCACTATTTATAGAATAATTTTGTTCACTTAGGTAATAATGGTACGTTTGGTTTTCCATTCCCCCGAATTCCCACTCACGGACGGTCCAATATAACCTACTCAAATTAAGCTTCATATATATATATATATATATATATATGTATATATATATATATATATATAACAAAGGAAAATAGCACTAAAGTGGTGGAAATGGAAAGCAGGTGCGGAATAAATAGGTGGAAATTAGGTATAAGTTCCTATCAAGATGTTTCAAGACACGTAGGGAATGAAATATACACACACACACACATATATATTGTATCCCACACTTCATATTCTTAAAATTATATTCCTCAATGGGCAATTTGTTGCGATAAATTGGAAATCGAAACCCTAATAATACATATAGTAGTAGATCCCAGGAATTATAAATCAATAATTAACCACATTTTTTTCTATTTGATGCATGGTAAAATACTTCTTAGGCCTTTTAATTAACTTTTGTCCCACACAACAGTCTTAATCAACAATAATAATCTTGGCCTTAAACTTAGAGCTATAAAGTTTTCAAGTACATTAATTCACACAATGGACCATGCTGCATTTCAATTTAATTTTCTTGTATGACTTTTAAATAATTCCTCCTAAACATCTATATTAGATATTCCTTGATATAGATCTAGTTCTTCATTATATTTGTTTTTTTTTTGTTATTTCTCTAAGCTCCATTCTACATTAGAAGATATCTCAATACTTTGGCGCACATGCATATAAAAAATGAACAGTGAGCTTATTAAATAAAGAAAACTTCATGTTGTGATAAACTAAAGTTTGCGGATCCATGTCCGTATATATATATTTTTAAATTAATAATTACATCGCTAGTCAAAGTATTGGCTCTATATCCACTATACGATTAGGTTATATATATATATAATTTATTTATCGATTTGACTACGACTTGGAATGTTTATTTAAATATATGATTTGATGTGAAACACTGAAAACTTCGCACGTGATCTGAATTAACGACCCGTGAAGGAAGCTTTTTATTTTCTCTGCGTGACTCACCGTCCGTTACAGAAGCTCGAATTCCGGTGCGAACATTATCCGCGTTTATTCTTACCCGTGCAGCCAAACAACACCTTATGGGGGCCGGAGGAAGCAACGATCCGGTGCGTCCGTACGCACTCGAGGCCACTACGTCGTCCGACTGGATAGCCCACCGACACAGAACCACGTCCGTGTGGGACCCACACATATTTATTACCGAACTTATTTGATTTAATAAGTGGTTATCCCCATAAATATTATAAGGATTAAACATTATAATAGCTGCGAAATACAATATATAATAATCAAACAAACACTAAAAGGACGAAATCAAATGGAAACAATAAGAAGAAAAAAACATTACGTTATCTTGGTTTTTCATACGTCATATTCTTGCCTTTTTTTTTTTCATATGATGGAGTGGAGCCATGCATACGTTAACACTGCGGATACAGACAATTAAAAAAAACATTACATTATCGGATAAGTGTTTTCTTAAAATGACAAATAAAATAAAATAAATACTACAAGTTGCTGAAATGCAAAATACATTCAGCGATATTATTACAGTTTTAACGTTATCCGGGGCTTTTGCGTGTACAAATGGGAACTTGTGCTTGACAATAAATGATCGTGCCTTTCAAAAATTGTTTTTAAATAAAATTTTGGAATATTTTATTTTTGGCGTTCATAAACGATTTTAATCGTTAAATGAGTATAAAAATTTCTGCAACATAGGAATTTGATAAGACGGATAACTAACTTGTACAAAATTTGAGCCGCACTCATTTCTTAATATATATTTTTTTTGTAAGTGAATGAATGATATAAGTCAAAATAAATGAAAACAAGATGAATATTTAAAAATTCTTGTGGCATTTCGTTCATTTGCAAAATAAATTGGAATTCGGATTTAGACTTTACTTAAATATATATATATATATAATGTATCAAAAAATATAGATATATATACACATAACATGTGTATAATTAGGAATCTTACCGACAAATTAACTTTTGGAAATCTTGCGCCACTTACGCAGAGAGGTTCCACAAGTCAAAACTAATTCCACATTTGTAGAAATATATACGTATATGTCTCAATAATTTAATTGTTTACAGTATATATATATATATATATATATATGTTCAACACTGTGATTGTATATAAATCATTATTAATCCCTTGCACAGATACTTTTTTTTTGGAATGATTATGTAAAAAAACTTAGTATTTAATAATAATAGTAATAATATATTGATAAAGCATGATTTGGACCGTCATGATTTATGGCAGGGAGGTGAGATAAATTAGTTTAGATAATTTAATTATGTCTGATTTTAGTTTAGATTGCATTAATTGCTGTCGAGTTCGTTTAAATGTGAGGGGGAAGCTTCTCTCTTTTGCTTAAACACAGCGGCAAAGCCCGCATTTATCGTTTAAAGATTCGCGTGATTTCCTCTCTCGCTTTCTTAAAAAACAATTAATTAATTTAATTGCATGTTTTCAATTTTCGTTTTTTTTAGTTTAATATAAATCTCTAATCTGCCAACAAAAACAATATATATATATATATATTGTTGTCCAAACATTATTATTACGGGGGGAAGAATTTGCTATACAGTTTTCACGAGCCTTGTCGATATTGGATCCATACAAATTCTCTGCGACGCTGCTGCTTCACTCTCTCCCACTGTCGAACTTCGACTTGGAGAGAGAGAGAGAGAGAGAGAGAGAGAGAGAGAGAGAGAGAGAAGAAGAAGAAGAAGAAGATTGCGAGAAGAAGCTTATCTAATGATGGATTGTTGAGATTCGCGCTAATTTTCTGGGGAGAATTTCGGATTTAATCGATTGTGTATAGACTACGTATCTTACAGCTCCAAGACCGCCATTGCTGGGGCAAAAAGGTTTCGCTTCTGTTTTTTTTTTGCTCATTATTGTCTGATTCGCTTATGCTTTTTCCACTCCACGGCATCTGTTATCGATTCGATTCGAATTTGCGTTCATTTCTTTTGATTCGCGGATTGATCTGGGATGAATGTTTGGCCAATTCATCTGGGCCGCGCTTAAATATCGATTTCCACGACAGAAACAAATCCAATTTATATGGAAATTAAGTAGTCTGTAGTGTTTCTTCCGTATCAAGGAATTATGTTCGTCGAGCTGATTCGATTTCTGGTTCATTCGAATTTCTTGGTGTAGTTCTCACAGCCTCTGTAGAGCAAATGTTTCAACATCTGATCATTTCACTTCTGGTCTGAGTTTTTGACTACTGATGTAAATTGGAGAATGATCTCTGTGATCGAGCTGCATATATATTTCAGATCATAATAGTATACACGATCTTACCTATTTCGAGCTTGAAATTTCACTTTCTGGAAACGATTTCTAGTTTTGCTCAATTCGGAGATTTCAATTTCTAGTTTTCTCAGAAACTTCAGTTCGGATTTGCAGGAATCTTGGACTAACGAAAATGTCGATGCCACTGCACCGTGGCGCATCTGGAATTAGGGTTTCAGGTAGCAGCGATGATTTGTGGGACTCCCAAATGAAGGACAAGATAGAGAAGGAAGATTTGAATCGAAGCCGTTCCATGGACAACACCTCCTTGGCCTTAAGGTCCCCATTCGGTTTCCTCTTCAATAATCACTCCTCTTCGAAGAACGGAATCAGCGAAAATGGTGTCACTTCTGATCCTTACAGTGGCAGCAACTCTAGGAGTAGACAGAGATTTATGCTGCTGTTTCTGAAGATCAGTTTGGTCGGTATTGTGGTTGTAGCTCTCACCGGATCGTTCTTGTGGACGATTGCCATTTCCTCCTCGTCCAGAGGTCACATATATCATAACTACAGGAGATTACAGGAGCAGCTAGTTTCAGACTTGTTAGATATCGGGGAGATTTCTCTTGGTCCTAATAGATGGAAGGAGATGGAGTTTTGTTCTGAAGATTCTGAGAATTACGTGCCTTGCTTTAACGTTTCCGAGAATCTTGCTCTTGGATACTCCAAAGGTGATGAATTCGATCGGTTTTGTGGACCCGGGTCAAGGCAGGATTGTTTAGTATCGTCACCCGTGAATTACCGGATTCCTCTCAGGTGGCCAACTGGCAGAGACGTCATCTGGTTCGCTAATGTTAAGATTACTGCTCAAGAGGTGTTGTCGTCTGGTAGTGTCACAAAGAGGTGAGAATCAAAGCTCTGATCTTTCTGCAGTTCTCTCATTGTCTCATCCTAGATTTTGTTGTTCTAGTTTTGTGTTATGTCCTTTGACCCTTTTGCCAGGATGATGATGTTGGAAGACGATCAGATTTCTTTCCGTTCTGCATCTTCTATGTTTGATGGGGTTGAAGACTATTCCCATCAAATTGCCGAAATGATTGGGATCCAGAATGATAATTTCGCAGAGGCTGGTGTAAGCCGTTGCATGAAATGGATAAAGTTAAATCTTTTTAATTCGTACTTTGTCCATTCTTTGATGCAGTTCTTTCTCTTTATGTTCATCTCAGGTGAGAACTATCTTAGATATCGGATGTGGGTACGGTAGCTTCGGGGCACATCTATTTTCGAAACAGCTCTTAACAATGTGCATAGCGAACTACGAAGCCTCGGGTAGCCAGGTTCAGCTAACACTCGAGAGGGGTCTTCCCGCAATGATCGGTTCCTTTATTTCGAAGCAGTTGGCATACCCTTCACTCTCCTTCGACATGTTGCATTGTGCAAGATGTGGCATTGATTGGGACCAGAAAGGTACGAACTTTCAAACACGTTTTCTCGTGTAACTTGTCATGAACTCAGACTCCTGCTTACCTTTTTACTAATAGTTTCAATCCTGCCATGCAGATGGACTTCTCCTGATTGAAGCTGATAGAGTTCTGAAGCCCGGGGGCTTCTTCGTCTGGACATCACCTCTCACAAACGGTCGTAACAAAGAGAATCTAAAAAGATTGAACTTTGTTCGTAATTTTGCTCAGAGCCTCTGTTGGGATCTTTTGTCACAGCAAGACGAGACAATCGTTTGGAAGAAGACGAGCAAAACCGATTGCTATAGTTCCCGGTCAGTGACACATATTCTTTCTGTTCTCTCTTATTCGGTTTTTTTAACATCAATGCTTTCTGTGTACACAGGAAGCCCGGGGTAGGACCTCCGGTCTGTAGCAAAGGACAGGATACGGAATCTCCGTATTACCGACCACTTCAGACATGTATAGGCGGAACCCGCAGCCGGAGGTGGATTCCCGTTCAAGCCCGGAGAACGTGGCCTGGCAGGGCTCACCTCAACAAGACCGAACTCTCACTATATGGTTTGTCTCCTTAGTTATCTTTCAGATTAGTTATCAGACTACAGAAATGAAAACTGTAAAAACAGAAGTTATTTTTGCTGTAACTGGACGGTTTTTACACTATCATCGGTGACAAAATCTCGGGTCTCACTTAGAGTTTCCGGCTGGACATTCCTCAGGTCTCCACCCTGAAGATTTTGGCGAGGACAGTGAAAATTGGAGATCTACGGTTCGGGAGTACTGGTCTCTGTTGTCTCCTCTCATATTCTCGGACCATCCGAAAAGACCCGGCGATGAAGACCCGTTGCCGCCCTATAACATGGTCAGAAACATTCTGGACACGAATGCTCGATTTGGCAGTTTCAATTCCGCGTTGCTGGAAGCAGGAAAATCCGTCTGGGTCATGAACGTTGTACCCTCTATCGGACCCAACCACCTCCCGATGATACTCGACCGTGGCTTTGTCGGCGTATTGCACGACTGGTGAGTTCGTCTTATTATCATAATCTCTCGAATATTCTCCAAATCATTGTCTCTGTCCTGAAATCTTCTCAAACGATGTCTGAATCGTATGCTCAGGTGCGAAGCTTTCCCTACAAAACCCATCTGATGAGTCAAATCCCTCGATATAATCTCTTATTCTGCTGCCTTCCTCAACTCAAACATGGGGGTTTTTGTTTCTGGAGTTTGTCATCTGAATCTAACAACAATGCAAGATATATCGTCTTTACTGTCTCTCCTCAATGCTTCAGCAGTTAGCTCCTTCGCCGCCTTCTGTGGATCCTTCGCCCTTCTGGCCACGTTTTCCCTACGTACCCGAGATCGTACGATATGGTTCATGCTGACGGGCTTCTGTCGCTTCAGACAGGACATCATCGTCGGAACAGGTGCTCGCTTATGGATATTTTCATCGAGATTGATCGGTTACTTCGCCCAGAGGTACACTTTCTTCCCAGGCGAAAAATGCCGCCATTAGAAGCTGGTTCTGGATCTAAACCCGAGTTTTTTTTTCGTAGAATCGAACCTTAAAGGCTGAATCTTTTTGTAAATTTCCCGACAGGGTTGGGTGATAATCCGAGACACGACACAACTCATCGAGACAGCAAGAACTATGGCGACGCGCCTAAAGTGGGAGGCGAGAGTTATAGAGATGGCCGGCAGCGGCAGCAGCAGCAGCGATCAAAGACTTCTCTTCTGTCAGAAGCCTTTCAGCAAGAAGCTATCAAACTGAAGACGAAGAAGAAAACTAACGTTAAAAAAAACGGGTTTTTTTTTTCTCCTCAGAAGATTGATTTTATTATCCTCTACACGTAATATATTACGGCAAGAAGAAGAAGAAGGAAGAGGGAATATACTGCAGGAGCCGTAAGGCCGGAATTTTACAGATGTATATTTTTTTTTTCTTTATTTCAGATTTTTTTTCTCGGTTTATATGGTTTATACACCAAAAAGGAAGAACATGATTCAGATTTGTGAAGATGTTTACGAAATAAAGTAAAAAAGTGTGTAATTTTCAGTATCAGCACTGCGAAATATTTTCACTTTTTTTTATTTACATGAAAGAGCCTGTTCTTGTTCGGTAACGTTTTTTTACAAAAGAAAACTGAATACATGCCCGTGTTGGTTCGGTTTGATAAAAGACTGAACATTAGAGAAATCCAATTTTAATTCGTGTTTTTTGTTTTGAGTAAGTTCCGATTACAACTATTTCACTCTGCTCCTAAGATTTAGTGTTTGATTCAATTTATTTGGAGCCCGGAGTGATTCCGTACAATTTTGGTTTGAATTGGTTTAGTTCGATTTGATTGGGGATACCGGTTTACTATTTATTGGGCTTTTTATAAGGCCTACTAAAGGATGGGCTTTGCCCATTGTCTACAAAGGATTTGAGATTTGAAGATGACGTCGTTTTGGTAAGATGGAATCTATTCGCAGTGCCTCACACTCACCGGTTCGTCGTCCCTCGCCTTTTTTTGAACCGTTTGCCCCTCTCTCGTCTCGTTCGCATCTGACTTCATCACCGGCGGTTGCGCCATGGACAGTCGCCGCCGCCTCCACCACCACCGCCACCACGGCCGAGTAGGCAGTGCCTCACACTCACCGGTTCGTCGTCCCTCGCCTTTTTTTGAACCGTTTGCCCCTCTCTCGTCTCGTTCGCATCTGACTTCATCACCGGCGGTTGCGCCATGGACAGTCGCCGCCGCCTCCACGACCACCGCCACCACGGCCGAGTAGTCTCCGGAGAGCGTTTGTCGGTGGAGTCCCTGCCGTTGATTGACACGCGCCTCCTGTCTCAGTCGGAACTTCTCTCGCTCTCCCTTTGTTCTCCTCTCTCTTCTTCGTCTTCTTCTTCGGCGTCCCTCGCTGCTTCTGCAGGTGGAGACGACGATTTGACTCCGAAGATCGATCGCTCTGTCTTTAATGAGTCCGCCGGAAGCCGGAAGCAGACGTTCCTCCGCCTCCGCCTGGCACGCCACCCTCCGCCTCCGAGACCGCCGTCGTCACGACGCCAGCTCGATGAATCTTCTTTCGAAGAGAACTCGCAGGTTGTTTCCCTACTCAGATCTCTTTTCTCTATCGGTTCGTCTCCGAGAAAGACGAAGGAAAATGGTGGAGAAGAGGAAGGTCATGAAGAGTATGAGCACGAAGACAGCGAAGGTCAGCGGCTGTTTCCTGTCCCGATTAATTTTTTCAGCAATGTCTATCAGGATCTGAATCTGGATTCTGTACAGAGCGTTCTAGTTCAGATGATCTCCGGCAATGAAACGAGAAGGAAGCGAGGGAGGCCGAGGAAGATTAGGAGCCCTAGCGACCGGGCGATTGTCATCGGGAGGGGTGAAGGTGTAGAGGCGTCTGATGTTTCCAATTGGATTGAGGCACTTCCGTATTCGAATTCGATAGCTATGGAGACGCGGGAAACTTCCTTCGAGGAGACACCGATTGAAGATTTGGGATTGCAGAGAAGAGATGGAGCTTCAATTTTCTTCACGGACCCAAATTCGAACACGTTGAGCACACTGCAAGTGAAGAAAAAGAGAGGTCGTCCCCCGAAGAATAGAGATTCCGTCAATCAGGTGGGAGTGAGCAGGAACTGCGAAGATAAAGAGCCACTGGACTTGCAGAACAGGGATGGTGCCATGGTTGATCTATTGACATTGGCTAATGCTGAGGATCCTTACGGGGAGGAGCTGAGGAGGAGGACGATGGGGTTGCAGACCAAAGCTGAGCTGTTGGGGTTCCTGGCACAGCTGAGAGGTGAATGGGTGAATGCTGGGAAGAAGAAAAGGGTTGTTGAGGCTTCTGATTTCGGGGACACGTTGCCTCGAGGATGGAAGCTTATGCTCTGTGTCAAACAGAAAGCTGGCGATGTTTGGCTTGCTTGTCGCAGATACATGAGGTATAGCATTGAGGTTCTTGCATTGATTCTCTTTGGTGGTCGATGTCGTTTCTGTTCCTTTCTTGTTCATCATGTTAAACATATTTGAATTATGCTTTTAACTGGTGAGCATGGTTCTTGATGATGAATAGACCAGAAAAGCCTAATCAGCATTAGGGAGAGAGCAACATCTGGATTGGGAGAGAAATGTATATGGATGAGAGTTCATGCATACATGATGGGTTTTGCAGTTTCTAGTGCTAAACTTGTACCTTGTTTGATTTGAACAAAGTGTAGGATTGTCCACATACAGGGCTGTGATGTGTGAAGTTGATATACTTGCTTATGATGCCATTGTTAGGAATGGTTGTATATCCTGCGAGAATTGGTTTTCCTTTGAGGATGTCTCATTCTCTTTGTTCTCTATGCCTCTGTTCTTATGCTTTTTAGTTGGTAACCACAACTTTGGCTAATTTATCATCTCTGCAAATCATATGAAAGCCCTAACGGGCAGCAGTTTGCGACCTGCAAGGAAGTCTCGGCACATCTGATATCCATTCTTGAAGCCCAGGGCGAGAAGAATCAGTCTAGAATCAGACGACATCCACATGGGATGTTCTACGAATCTTCGGCCGGGGTGAGGGGAGATCATGGGGGTATGAGTGAGGATCCAGTGGAAACCAATCTGGTGGGTATGGGGGGCAATGCAGTGTTGGATTTGGTGGGCAGAGACAACCTCAAGAAGAGCATGATGATAGACTTTTTCAGCAGAGAAGGGGAGATGGTGGTGAACAAAGAATTGGTGGAGTTGTCGAGTTCGGAGGCAATGTATGGTGAGAAGCTGAGAAAAATGACTCAGGGTCTGGCCACTACTGAGGAGCTTCTTCAGTTCTGGAGCTCTTGAAAAAGGCTGCAAGTTATCAGTTAATTCATATGATTGATGATGATATGCTTTGTTACCGCATGCAGTGATTGATCATTGATGATTGTGCATTTAAAGTTGATATAATCTTTTTTTTCAGAAAGGGTATATAAATGTCCGGAATGTTAATTCTATAATATTATTTTCTTTCCTTCATTTTTATCTACATTTCAGCAGTTTTTAAACATTTGTCAAATTCGGGTATTTGATATAAGTAAATCATTTTACATCTTTTTTTCTTCCAGAATTTGGATATATCCGTTAGGTTGTTTACGAAAGAACTGAATCGAGCGGTCCATACTCATTCACGACACATCTATGACGATATTCCAATGTTTATGATGTTCTTATTTGCTTATTTGGTTAAGTATCAAATACCCAATCCAAATCAAACAACACAATAAACTAGATTTAGATTTCTTAAACCAGAACTTAAACCGAAGCTGAATCCAAATCGAAAAACCGAATCAAACCAAACAAAATTCAAAAATAAATACTCGAAAGAGATGTAAATTTTCAAGACCAAATAATCGAAACGGAGTTTAAACCAGACCCCGTAAAAGCCATCACTGTGTATGCACACACACGTACCATGACTTTCTTTTTTTTTTTTTTTTTTTGCAAACTTCACCCAAAAATCACCAAAATGAAAATGAAACTCTGACAAGGAAAATTCACCTTTCTCTATGATTATTGAAAAAGACCAATTCAAAGTCCTTTGAATGAAGGGGCAATAGAATCGAGATGTAACCAGCGAGAGGGTTAACCAACAGAGAGAAACATGGCTCTGAAGGAAGAGAGGGACCTCTCAAATGGCAGAAGATTGATATAAGCCCCCAGAACAAAGCCCACAAGCATCGATCTTTGAGATCTCTCTCTTGCGGCTGAAAGAAGAGGCTCTTTCGTATCTAATCAACATTATTGATTTATTTTACCCAAAAACAAAACCACAAATATCAAATTCAAATCTCCGAAAACAGAAAAGGGAGAAGAAGAGAAGAACGCTCTCAACTCAACAACAGAGAGAAGAGGAGAATGGCCACTAGGAGGATCGTACATTGCTATGGAGAAGCCGAGGCGGCTTCGTTTATATATATAGAGGGGGTTAGGGGCCAGGGTCTCTCTCTGTAAACCCTAATTTTCCTCCTCTCCGTTTGGGTAAATTATGGGCCATTATTGGGCCTTGTTTTTGTATTTTAACCACATCTGGGCCTTCGTTTTGTATAAGCGTACGAAATCCGTTGGGCTAAAAAAATGTTATTATATATTTTTTTCATCAGCTTCTGTTTAAAGTTTAAAACCCAAACTAGAAAGCCTTTTTAAAAAAATGCTTCAAAATTCGGATAATTTTGATCTAAAACCACATAAAATCAAATGCAGGAATGATTTTTTTTTAAAACAAATCTGTCTATCACCTTCTTACCAGCAAAGGGGAGATTTTTCATTTACACAAACTTCCTAGTATTATGCCTTAAAACCATTGCAGAAATAAAAAATGAAAACAAATCAAACAATATATAATAATACCACCCAGACCATCCATCATGGTCTCTTCTTCTTCTTTGTCTGTCCCTAAAAGCACAAGATTTACACCAAAAGAACCAAAACATTACCTATAATAAACTCTCTGTTCTTCAAGAAGCTCTGTCCATAACCACCCCCTATGCCAAAACCCATCTGATGAGTCAAATCCCTCGATATAATCTCTTATTCTGCTGCCTTCCTCAACTCAAACATGGGGGTTTTTGTTTCTGGAGTTTGTCATCTGAATCTAACAACAATGCAAGATATATCGTCTTTACTGTCTCTCCTCAATGCTTCAGCAGTTAGCTCCTTCGCCGCCTTCTGTGGATCCTTCGCCCTTCTGGCCACGTCAATCGCCTCTTCGTTTGACATCACCTGTACATGTAAAATTCACAACAAAAACCGACTCTCTGTCACTTTGAAGAGTTTTGTCTGAAAATTGGTTACTATACATTCAGGGTATGTGTTTGCGTATGTATATACCTTCCAAAGGCCATCACTTGCAAGAACAAGGATATCTGTGTTGCTGTCTAAAGTGACCTCCTTTATGTCAGGTTCCGAACTCAGATGGGTTTTGAGGCTCTTGTCCCCAAATGCACGGGATACGGCCAATTGCCCGTTAACCCGAGGAACATCTCCTGCGAGAAAAAAAACACATATATATATATATAATATGTAAACAACCTCATCATTCTTGTCAACATTTTGTTAGCTTTGATAAAAATGCCCAATAGTTCTTTACTTCTTTACCTGGAAGGTTGGATACAAATCCGCCTCTATCCTCAATGCTAACCCTTTCAGCACGGGGCTCGTGATCTGTACTCATCTGTATTGCTTTACCTCCTCTACATATAACTGCCCGTGAATCGCCAACGTTAGCTACCCACAGCTTTCTCCTGTTTATCAATATCGCAGTCACGGCTGTTGACCCACCTCGACCCAAATCAGAACTATGCGATAAAATCGCCTGGTCTGTCTTCTCGTAAGCTTTTGCAATGGATCTCCGAGGATCAACCCAGAACTCTCCCTGAATATAACCAATTACCCATGTTTATTGCATTACCAATAATCAGTTTTTGTTCAGTAATTTGGGTCATTCCACAAATTCCGATATGTCTTAACTGGAGGAACCAGACATAAACACATAGACAGAAAGAAGACAGAAAACATTATTATCCAACCTCCTTCAGGATATTTGAGAAGAGATGCTTCTGCAAGTATGCGGGGACCTTATCCCCCATATGGCCATCAAAAATGGCAAATAGTCCTAATTGATGGCTTTGGAGATTGATAAAGTTGGCAACGTGATAATCCTCCATCGGATGGTTAGCTTTCCCTTTTATCAGACTGAATCCATACTTGATTTCCCCTTCGTCGCTTTTTCCTTTACCTGAGCAAGATGATTCCTTTCCTCCTACACCCTAAAGCCACGAGGCCAAAAAGAACAGGTAGATGGTTCATATTTTTGTACATCTGACCTCATTCTTCAAAATCATAAACTCCTTGAACCATATAACTTCACAAACACTTCCATCAGATCAATCGACAAAACTGCTTTGACAAAACATTTCTCTCTGATAAGAGTAGAGAATCTAGAGACAGATCATCTTCTCTTGTGAACATTATACATTGGTTATATCGATGAAAAGAATATCCCACGCAGAAAAAGTTCATCGACACTTCATGTTAACAGTTTACTCAACAGAGTTTTATCCCAAAAACCTTCCCCGAAACACGTTTCTTCAGGAGATATTGTGCTGACACAAACGATGTTTCATAGATTTCATCATGTGATTTCTTTTTAAAAAGTTTCAAACTTGAGAAACAAAAAGAGACATCATACGCTACACACGACGCAACATAAACTACAAAGACGAAATTTCATTTATGAGAAACCTAGACTGACCACACTCAGCCACAGAAAATCAATCAAAATTCACAGATTCCATTATAATCATGAAATTAGCATCATTCAGACGGAATCGCCACTGTCCAATAAATCTCCACAGAAACACTACGGCCATTAATACTCGACCAAAGAAATTGTAAGCATAAGTGTGTATATTTACCCTGGAATCGAAACTAAAGCAGCAGAGCTTCCCCATCGAAGTCGATGAATTTCTTCGATGCCCTCAATTTCGAACTACGAAATCTTCCAAATTTACACAGAATCTGCAACATTTACGAAGTAAAACACAATCCCTGACAGAAAAAATTCTCCGCAATCGACACAGAGGGGAAAACGATAAATATAATGGAAAAGGGGAAATACCTCGAAGGAAACCCTAATTTGCTTCGATCGGAAGCCACAAACGACAATCCAGCCGATGAAATTTCTGCGAAGAAAGTCTTCGCTCTCTTATTTCTTTT